GCACCACAGCACAGGACACGGGGGAGGGGGGCACCACAGCACAGGACACGGGGGAGGGGGGCACCACAGCACAGGACACGGGGGGGGCACCAGAGCACAGGACACGGGGGGCACCACAGCAAAGGACACGGGGGACCCACCAGAGGACACCGAGGGGCAGGGACTCCAGCTGCGTGGAGCTGAGCACACACAGGTAAGTGGGGCGGACTCCAGCCAGGAGGTCCAGCGTGTCCTCATCCAAGTCGTCCCTTCCCAGCAGGTAGCGGGCGATCAGGGCAGTCACCTGAGGAGGCGCCAGCGTGGAGTCCGGGGCAGGGAGAGGCAAACCCGCCCGCCCGGGACGCACCCCGCCTGGGGCGGGCCTCACCTGCGTGTCTGTGCTGTGCCCGCTGCTAGCCTCGAGCAGGTCCCTGACCGTGTCCAGGGAGGTCACGTTCCACTTGCTGATGTCGTCCGGGAGGACGTGGCGGAAGAAGGGGCCGAGCCTCTGGATCAGGGCCTCGGGGTACCCTTGTGGAAAGGTCTGGAAAGGAAGTGACCCTGAGGGACAGGGCCACACTGGAGAGCTGGGCCCCGTGTCTGTCCAGGGCAGGGGGGAGGTGTGGTGAGCTACCTTGTCCAACTTGCGCTTCAAAGCGCTGAGCTGCTGGTAGGTGAAGGGGATCTTGTTCACTTCCTCCACCTGCTCCGCCAGCACGTTGCCGTCCAGGCAGGCCTCCAGCTCCCACTCCTCATACCAGAAGAGGCTCTCGTCCACCGCCAACGCCCTCTGCCCCGGGGGACAGGCCTCTGCAAGGACAGGCCTGCTGCTCAGCCCCCCTTCCCCCCACAGCCTCCATCCTGCTCCAGCCTCCGTTTACCCACCCGGTCTGTGAGGGGATGACCTGGCTCGCTGAGACTCAGGCAGGAAAGATCTCAGGCGTGGACAGTGCTAGTGCCGCCCGTCCCCCCTGCCTCCCCGGCCCCTGGTTACCTGCCCTCCTCCGTGCCCTCCCCCTGCCCCAGCGCCTGCCCCATGCCCAGCCCCCGGCTCCAGTGCCCAAGGCCTGGTGAGCAGGTTCAGAGCTCACTCTCTGTGTCTCGCCGGAACCTTTGGACCACGGGGGCCAGCTCAGACCTCCGCCACGATGGGTGCCCGGAGATGCGCTGTAGCCAGGAGTCCAAGACCTCCTGAGGACAGAGCGGGGCAGACCAGTGAGCCCGAGGGTCCCCGGGATCAGAGCCGGGAGCAGAGGAGGGGGACTCACCTGCGGGATGCTACGAACGATGGGCAGGTCCAACACAGTCATCAGGCCCTGCAGAGCGTCCAGGGTGGAGGGGGACCACCGCGAGGGAGGACTGTTTGGACAGAGGAGCCCCAAATGCAGTACAGGGGACAGCCAGTGAAGGGGCACAGCCCAGCGGCCCCGGGCACACCCCAGAGACCTCAGACACCCCCTCACTCACCCATAGGGGGGTCCTCCGCCCTTCAGAGCCGCCCTGGCTGCCTCCTGCTGGTCCTGGTCCAGGGGACCTGGGCAGCTGGCCAGCCGGGGGAGAAGGATGGCCGCTGCATTGGCCACAAAGCGCCCGGGCAGGTCACAAGCCAGGCTCCCCAGGGCCTGCACATCGGCCTCGCTCACCCGAGAGCCCCGCACACCCTGAACACACATTCGGCCTCAGTGCCTTCCTGTGAGGGGCCGCCCCTCCCTCTCTGCCCTGCTCCCCCCCCTCTGTTCTATACCCGGCAGGCCAGAGCTAGGCGCAGCATACGCTGGCGCTCAGGAGCCCCGGGTGGGAGCTGGCGGAAGTTGTTGGCCTTGGAGACTCGAGACAACAAGCTCTTACAGACCTGAGGCCCCGGGAACGAGGCAGGGCTGTGGAGAGAGATGCCAGGGACGGCTATGCCCGCAGCCCACTCCCCTCCCGATCCCACCCTGGGCCAGCCTCCCAGCCCCTGGGCTGTAAGCCGGGGACGGGGGGGGGGGCCCAGCGCCTGGCACCGAGCCTACCTGAGGAAGGGCAGCATGTCCACTGGGAGGGCATCCAGGTCCTGGGGCGCAAGGTGCTCTGAGAGACTGTGAGCCAAACAGCGCAGCTGCCGAGAGACCAGGCCGGCCGGCTCGGAATGTGCTGGGCCCCGGGCGGGGGGCTCCAGGTCTCCCACCCACAAGGCACACCCCAGCCCCGGCGCCCGTGGGCAGGGCGGGCCGGGGCGGGCAGGCAGGCAGGACTCGGCCCAGGGAAGCCGGGTTTTAGGGGCAAGGCTTTGAAGGGGGGCCCACTCTCCAGGGGGGCGGGCAGGCCTCCTCGGTCACCCCCCACAGCCAGACCCGTGTGGCCACATACCCGGTCAGCCAGCGGGAGACCCACGGGAGACCCACCTGATCCTCCCGGAGCGGGATGTGCTCCCGCCTCACAGTCACAGCCAGCTCCAGAGCGCGCCCGGCGCTCAGGCGGGACACCTCCTCACAGGAGAAGCTCCAGAGGCCTAGGGCCGGGCTGGGGCGGGCCCCGAGTGTGTGCCCACTTCTGGCCTTCTCAGTACCCCCTGGTCCCACAGCACCCCCTCCCTGCAGGACCCCGTAGGCCTCCCAGGGCCAGGCAACGTCTGGAGGGCAAGGGCTGGCCGCCGCCGCTCCCCAGTCCTGAGCCTGGTCAGGACCCGGGAAGCAGGACAGGCCGGGGAGGGGGCAGGAGCAGAGGCCCAGGAAGCTGTGCAGCCGGCCCCTGGGTGCCCGGCCTACGAGGCCCCCGGAGCCCCGGGGCCTGAGGAACCCTGGACGTACCTGTCGGGGTCACGCAGGCCCGCCGCGTCCGGGAGCGGAGGCTGTGGGGACAAGGCTCTGCTGATGCCCGCCGAGGTGGGTGTTTCTCAGTCTCTGCCACACTTTGGGCTCAGCTGCTTCAAGGCCCAGACTCCGGGGTGGGGTGGGGGGCCGGGTATGCGGAGCTTGGCTGTTTGCTGTGACCCATGTTTGGATCTCCTGGCTTAACTTCTACCTGACCCAGCTACGCTTAGGGCCCAGCTACACCTTTGCCCGTGGGTCCCCTGAACAGCTGCTAGGTGTTGGTGCGTGTGGAAGATACCTGGCCCTGTCTCCCACTGCGGGCCAGGCCGGGGTCTCCACCCAGGACGGGAAAGCCCAGCTGCCTCCCCCTCCCTCCCCCTCCCGTCCTCCAGCCTCACCTGTCCCGTCTCTGCAGCCCTTGGAGGTTGTGTCCGGCCTGTGGAGCACAGGCAGGAGGCTGGGGTGGAGGGGCTCTGGGGGTGCGCCTGGCCCTGGGAAGGGGACAAAGCCTCTCCCTCCCTAGCCGCAGCCCAGTGACCCCCTGCCGGGTGCGGAGGTCCAGGGCTCGGCCCACACGGGGGGCCCGGACCCCCACACCTTCCTCAGGGTGGTCAGGTACCACCAGTCCTCAAGACGCCACCATGCTCAGCACCCCTCCCCGCCCCCGCAACGCCCAGCCCTCCCCGGCTTCTCTGGTCAGCTGCCCCTACTTACCGAGGCCCGGCAGCGGCAGCAGCAGCAGCAGCAGCAGCAGACCGCCCCGAATAGGGGTCCTGCGGGACCCCAGAAGGCGTCTGGCTGCCGACAAGGCCATGGTCTGTGGAGGACAGCGGCTGGGCTCCCCTTCCAACGCCCTCCCACCCACCCAGGGCCGCCCCAGGCTCTGTGGGTCCCACCTCCTGGGCGCCCAGGGGAGCTCCAGGCCAGCACCGCGGAAGTGAGTCCTCCCACAGGGGGTGGGGTGCTGGGCCAGGCCCCGTTCTGAGCCCATCCCCGCTCCCTGAAGGGCAGGAAGGGGAGAGCCCTGGGCTGCCTCCAATCAGGCAGACCTCAGTTTCCCCGTTTGTGTGGGGAAGGGGGCAGGCTTTCAGCTGCAGCCCCAGGGCTCTGCCAGGTGAACGGTGAGGGGCAGGGGAGGGAGTCACTCCCCTCTGCCTGCCCTCCAGCCGGCCCGCTCCTCCAACCCCACGCCCCCCTGCAGCTGTGGGGAGGGGCCTCCCTGAATAAGGAGGAGGGGAGGAAGGGGGGGGGGACGCACAGAGATCAGCCCACCCTCCACCCATCCCCAGAGGAGCCACACCCACTGCTCCAGGGAGCCTCCTGCAGCTGACTCTTGAGGAGGTGGTGGACGGCCCGGCCCTGGCTGGCCCGCAAGAACCACGGCGAAGGCACCCTGGCAGCCCGCGGCCCTCTCCCGGCCCCGGCCCCGGCAGAGGCTCTGGCGGTGGTAGGCCCTTCGCCTGCCTCCGCAGCCCAGAACTCCAGGTGGGACTCGGCAGCGGGGCCCCTCCCATCCCCCAGCTCTGCGCTGCACGCAGCTGGGCACCTGCCCAACCCCGGCCTGTGTGAGACTCCAGGGTGACCTCCAGGCTGCCTATTCCCCACCCAGGTCTGCGGCCGGCAAGCTCGTCCAGGAGGGCGGCGCTGAGGAGGCTTGTCTCGGGGGACAGCGCCTGCTACCCCTGCCACCGCGGTCTGGAGCTCCCCAGGACAAGGCCTCTCTCCTGGCCTACCTGCCACGCCCACCCGTGCAGCCTCCACATCCGGCTGCAGCCCGCAGGCCTGGCCCTCAACCCAGGGCAGAGAAGCCGAGCCGCATTCCTGCTGGGGCCCGCAAAGAAGCCTGTGGCGGCCACGGGCACCCAGCACGGGCAGGGCGGGGCAGGAAGACATTCCAGTGACCGCAGAGGAAGGGGGTCCACAGTGGACACAGGCCAGCAGGCCCTGGATCCGCCCAGGGCCCCCCGACATTCCATCCCAGGCGGGCAAGTCTCCAATCAGCCCAGCCCCCTCCCCCCATGCCCCCTCCCTCCCAGGGCTGAAGCGCCGAGGGGCTGCATGCCCTTCCACAGGTTTGCCCACCACAGCACAGGCACAGGACAGAGGCCGGAACGCTGGGGAGGCCCCGCGGTGCCCGGGCCCTGCCCCGAGCCCCAGGCTGAGCTGGACCCATGTCTGGGGGAGACAGTGTGCACAGGGCACAGGGTGGTCCTGCTGAGGGCAGTCAGACACCCACGGCTCCCACCTGAACCTGACCCCCCACCTGAGCCTGACCCTCCCACCTGAGCCTGACCCACCTGAGCCTGACCCCCC